ATATCGTAGAAGTTATGTAAATACAGCAATGAAAAACGTTATATCGTAGAAGTTATGTAAATACAGCAATGAAAAACGTTATATCGTAGAATTCATGTAAATACAGCAATGAAAAACTTTATATTGTAGAATTCATGTAAATACAGCAATGAAAAACGTTATATCGTAGAAGTCATGTAAATACAGCAATGAAAACGTTATATCGTAGAAGTCATGTAAATACAGCAATGAAAAACGTTATATCGTAGAAGTCATGTAAATACAGCAATGAAAAACGTTATATTGTAGAAGTAGCTTGAATCGATGGAACAAATCATTTAGATTGTTTTCCAATTCTATATAAAAAAAAAAAACAACAAGCACACTCTTAGAGTTTTATTTCGGTCTGCTAGCTACGATCAATGACCGCTACGTTAGTTGCAGTGTGTTTAACGGATTAACTTGCCTTCAAAGCCGTTCTCGCAAGAACTGTCTTCATGATTATCGAATAATCATCAGTTACTGCCTGGTTGATCTCACGATTAGAAAATCAGTGATTATCCATCATGACAACAGCTATGTTTTATACGTTTCTTACATAGTAACGTATTAGAAAGACGGAGAACTGCAGTGATTATCTACCATGACAACGGCTATGTTTTATAAGGATTTTAAATAGTAACATAATAGAAAGACGAAGAACTGCAGTGATTATCTACCATGACAACAGCTATGTTTTAAAATGTGTTTTTAAATATTAACATAATAGAAAAACGAAGAACTGCGAAATAGCTGTTCAATATGTGTGTACATAAACAAATGGGAACAGTAAATATTACAAGACGTGTATACACGATAACAAATGTGACCGGTAATGGTTAATATGATTATTCTATAAAAACAATTTTTCTTACTTATATCAATTAACAGATTGTTTATAACTGAGAGAAAAGTAAAAACACATGAAACATGACTATTGTTTGTTGTAGTTTAATCTGATATTCACAAACAATAACACAAAATGCCTGTGTGAATCCACTTTAACCTGATATTCAGAGTAGCCTGGCATCTGAGATAAATTACAATGACACATGTTACTATCGAACTATAGAGGCGGTACAGAAAGTACAGCTAAAAGAAAACAATAATAGATAACAAATTCAAAGAATAACAAAACAGTTTAATAAATAATAAATACAATAATTTATTTAAAATAACCAAGTTAAATGTAATAAAAAAGAATAATTCACTTACGTAACATGAGCTATGTCTAGTACAACTAATAGAACTACGTGTGTACTAACCCTGATGAAGCCGCAAAGGCGAAACACTGCGTAAAATAAAGTTATTTTATAGTTATTTGGAGTATAAATGTAGTTTTTTATCAAAATCGATAGTAAGATATAACAAAGATAGCAGTAATAATAAGACTTAAACAAAGAAGTAAGAACAATGGTAAATATAACAATGAAAGTTTTTGAGCGACATAATGTTATATCTATATATAAATGTATACAACAAACCAGTGTGACCTAAGGTTACATCGGTGATAGTGCATGAAGCTAACACTAGTTTTTATGTATTTTCTGAGCAGGATATATTATATTCCTTCTTTCATGCTAGTTTCATTAATAGTACTGGTTAAATTGTTGAATATGTAAATATCTATCTTTATTCACAATAGTCTGTGTCTTTACATATATTAAAGTAGCTTAGAATATAGCGATAGGACTAACCTAAATCTTCTAAGCTGACCGAACCACATACGATATTATTGGGATTATGGCCGAAAACTACACTAACATCGAGGGTATTCAACTGATGAACCAATGCATTCTAATCGTTAATAGTAATAGCGGTATATTGAATTAGTTTTTATTAATAACTGGTTTAACCTTTAATTATGATACATCTAAGTACGTTTTGCGTTGATTTTTGTTTTACCAAATGCACTAAGTGACCAGTAGAAGTGAATAAAACGAATAAAATTTAACTCCTATGTTAAATTATAATTTATATACAAGAACCAACAATTTACATTTCAGAGAAGTTCGTTTTCTTTCTTTTTACATAGGTAATGTTTCTTAACATGTTCTAGCGTATTAACATTCTACCAAGTTTATTTGTATCTTATACCTCTCACGTTCTTGTTTTGATACTTAATGGTTTTATGACGTCACGTATTGTTGACGTTTCAGGTCTCGTAGTTTGCAAGCCAATAATAATGTTTTTCTTTTTCTATAAATGTTCATAATATTTCATTTTGAGTCTTCTATATACTTCTCGTTTGTGATCTGCATTATTTTCACTTTCTGAAAATTCGATGCAGTTGGTGTTAAAAGGTCACGGTGTTGTTGTTTGACGCGTAATGAGAGGTAGAACTAGAGTAATTGAACTATTGATGTCAAAAGGTCATGTGTTGTTGTTTGACACTTGATGAGAGGTAGAACTAGAGTAATTGAATTATTGATGTCAAAAGGTCACGGTGTTGTTGTTTGACACTTGATGATAGGTAGAACTAGAGTAATTGAACTATTGATGTCAAAAGGTCACGGTGTTGTTGTTTGACACTTGATGAGAGGTAGAACTAGAGTAATTAAAAAGTTGATGTCAAAAGGTCACGGTGTTGTTGTTTGAAACTTAATGAGAGGTAGAACTAGAGTAATTGAACTATTGATGTCAAAAGGTCATGTGTTGTTGTTTGACACTTGATGAGAGGTAGAACTAGAGTAATTAAAAAGTTGATGTCAAAAGGTCATGTGTTGTTGTTTTAAACTTAATGAGAGGTAGAACTAGAGTAATTGAACTATTGATGTCAAGAGGTCACGGTGTTGTTGTTTGACACTTGATGATAGGTAGAACTAGAGTAATTGAACTATTGATGTCAAGAGGTCACGGTGTTGTTGTTTGACACTTGATGAGAGGTAGAACTAGAGTAATTGAACTATTGGTGTCAAGGGGTCACGGTGTTGTTGTTTGACACTTGATGATAGGTAGAACTAGAGTAACTGAACTACTGATGTCAAATGGGCGTGTTGTTGACTTATTGAGATTTAAAACTATAGTAATTGAACACGAAATGTGATGGAATGTTTATAATATGAATATTTTTTTGCTTTTATAAATTGTAGGTGCGATTTTGCCTGCTGTCATAGAGATGATAAAGCCTATTGAAAAAGCAGTTAAAATAGGAGGGTCGTTAAACATCTCGTGCTTATTAGAATCACCTGGTAGCTCAATACAGTGGCTGCGAAACGGTAAGCCCTTACTGGTAAATAGCAGTGCAGTGCCCAGGAAGTATTGGAACATCGCAACGGATAACGAAGTATCAATGACGATCAATGACGTCACGAAGGAAGATAATGGATTGTGGGAATGCACAGAAGTAGGAGATAATGATGGGACTGTAATCAGAACAACTAAAATTCTCAAGCTCATAGTAATGAGTGAGTGTAATAATTTTATCTAATGGCAGTAATAGTTTAAGTTTAACAATTGATGGATATATATAACATCAACAGATGTATCCTTACGTTCTATACGTTCATAAACAATTCAAATACAATACCGTGTAACATTTAGATGTGACATATCTTGGTTATTTCCCAGAATGCAGTATTAAGATGTAGAAATATGATCAGTGAGTAGAAATAATGTTGGTGCAGAAATATGATCAGTGAGTAGAAATAATGTTGGTGCAGAAATATGATCAGTGAGAAGAATAATGTTGGTGTAGAAATATGATCAGTAAGTAGAAATAATGTTGGTGTAGAAATATGATCAGTAAGTAGAAATAGTGTTGGTGTAGAAATATGATCAGTAAGTAGAAATAATGTTGGTGTTGAAATATGATCAGTGAGTAGAAATAATGTTGGTGCAGAAATATGATCAGTGAGAAGAATAATGTTGGTGTAGAAATATGATCAGTGATTAGAAAATGTTGGTGTAGAAATATGATCAGTAAGTAGAAATAATGTTGGTGTAGAAATATGATCAGTAAGTAGAAATAGTGTTGGTGTAGAAATATGATCAGTAAGTAGAAATAGTGTTGGTGTAGAAATATGATCAGTAAGTAGAAATAATGTTTGTGTAGAAATATGATCAGTGAGAAGAAATAATGTTGGTGTAGAAATATGATCAGTGAGAAGAATAATGTTGGTATAGAAATATGATCAGTGAGAAGAATAATGTTGGTGTAGAAATATGATCAGTGAGTAGAAATAGTGTTGGTGCAGAAATATGATCAGTAAGTAGACATAATGTTGGTGCAGAAATATGCCGTTCCCCCAATGAGTCAGCGGTAAGTTTGCGAACTTAACAACGCTAAAATCCGGGGTTCTATTCCCTAAGGTGGACACAACGGATAGCCCGATGTGGCTTTGCCCGAAAAGTAAACAACTTAAAAATCCGGCGTTCGATTCCTTGCGGTGGACAGAATGCAGATAGCCGAATGTGTAACTTTGTAGTAAAAAAAAAACAACAATGCAGAAATTTATAATGTTTTGATAACTGGATTGTAAATAAAACAAAGTTTAACATAACTTTCAAGATGATATTATTAGCGATGTTTTATGGTGTAACACGTCATTAGGCAAGTCTCTTTAACTCAAGGCCCGGCATGGCCAGGTGGTTAGGGCGGTCGACTCGTAATCTGAGGGTCGCGGGTTCGAATCCCCGTCCCACCAAACATGCTCGCCCTTTTAGCCGTGGGAGCGTTATAATGTGACGGTCAATCGTTGGTAAAAAGAGTAGCCCAAGAGTTGGCGGTGGGCGGTGATGACTAGCTGCCTTCCCTGTAGTCTTACACTCCTAAATTATGGACAGCTAGCGCAGATAGCCCTCGTGTAGCTTTGCGCGAAATTCAAAACAAACATACAATCATTAACTCAAAGGGAAACAGAGTATGTGGCTTTTCTATCCCCACTTGTTACAAATATCCCAGAAAATACATTAAGACCAGCTCAGTAAGTTATCCAACAAGTCATCTAGGTGTGAAAATATGACAATAGCATTAGGCTTGTTGTATTTTTAGCAATAAATAACTTATTCGATCCCTTTCTGTTTTTCCGAGCAAAGGTGTTCGCACAATGACAGTTTTTTTTTTTTCTGACACATGAATTATATAAACAGTGTTCCGACTACTACTATGTTGTATCCCAGTTGGCCAGATGAGTTCTGGTATGAGCGAAACGCGTCGTTGGCAGTGTATATGACGGGCATAGTATGGTTGAAATACTATTTTACACACTTCGGGGGAAAAACCCAGATGAACTCTGGTGTTGAGCGAAACGCGTCCGTTGGCAGTGTATATGACGGACATGGTATGGTTGAAATACTATTTTATACACTTCTTTTCGGGGGGAAAAAAACCTTAATGGACTGAGTAAAAAAATCTAGTGTTAACAGATATAATAAACTCTATACTATTGTTTTATGAAATATACACGATCAATCATAATAACCCTTTGTCAGCAAAGGCATTTACACTATAAAAATTGTTACTAAACAGGTATGAAAATAGACACGTGCAGTTGTAATTAAGAGCAGGATTAGTGTACCTTAAAGTTAGACATATCCTGCCTGTCTAGAGCTTGAACTTAACAGAGGTGTAGGAGGCAAATTAAAAGTGGGGCCAAGGTTTCTTTGACCGCGCATTATGACCGGGGTCCAGAGCTCGCCTTAGGGCCCCGGAAGCTCTTGGGTTCTGGATTAAATTTTATGCATTCTCCTGCTTTTCCTGAAATTAATCTAATTTTGATGCAGTTCTACTGGGACAAATTGAAAACTGGGATCCCCCCCACCGCTTCCTTCGACACTGATTAAGCAGGCAGGATCAAAGTTTTAAAGTAGTTTGAAAAAAAAAGAATATATTCATATAGTATGCTGTAAGGTGGTTTAGTTTACGGTAGATTTATATCACACCAAATGTAGTTTCAATATATATATATATATATATATAAATATTCTTTACTATGTGTGAGAATCGTGCACTTTTTTTTCACGTTTCGGAATTTCCATAAACGTTTTGAAATGTTTGATTTTCAGGTCCTCCAGATGAAACATTTTTAGAAATGGAAGGAACAAAACTACCTGCTCAAGCAACGATACCTGTCCAAGAACAGACCATGGTTTCTGTCAAGTGCATGGCTCGTTATGCTGTACCTCCAGTGCAGCAGATCTACTGGACCTTAGACACAATTAATATATCTTCCAGTAGTGAACTTCTTATTGAATTCCTCCCGAGAAACGACTCATACATTAGTTGGAGTGTGGTCACGTTTAATGTGACAAGAACATTCCACAAAAAGCAACTTATCTGTTACGTCCACCATCAGCTGTGGCCTCAAGCAGTTGCCGTCAGTGCCTCCTTGGATGTTTTATGTAAGTACCAAAAGATGACACTCCAGGAATCTACGAGGTTAACCTCCCAAGCCCCCTGGGATTGTTTTACATTACTAAAGAGTGATTGATTGAAATATAGTCAACTATAAACTTTACATAAATGATGACTTTACACTATATGCTAGAGTATGCTTTCGATTTTTTTAACAGTACTTTGGTTTGAAATCATAAAACATAACATAGAATTAAATCTGTCTTGCCTAACAGAACAAACCTTCAAAGGGATTTATAATTATTTATGAAAAAAGTTAAACACCACCCAGATAATATTATTATGAACGACGTATTGTATCTCTACTGAACTGGTGTATCAAATATTAGCTGAACATTAAATTTATGTATATTCAATTCTCCATACTTAGCTGTCTTTGGCGCTAATAAGTAATATTTCCGTTGCTTCGTTTGTTTTCGCGCAAAACTACACAATAGGCTATCTGTGCTCTGTTTAGGGAATCGAATCCCGGATATTAGCATTGCAAGTTCATAGACTTATCGTCGATCCACCGCGAGCATTTCCATGCTTCAATTTGTGCGTTCATTTAAGCCAGATATTAAATATTAACATATTAGTTAATCTGGGTTTATAAAATGAATTTCAACTAATCGAAACGTGATTAATTATTTTAAACCACTCCAAACTGACCATTACAGTATTAAGTAAGTAATCAAAGGAAAGTCATTAATGCAAGGAGAACCTTAAACAGAGACAGGAAATCTTTGATAAAGAAGGTAATTTCATGGGGAGTAGAATCTGATAGAGAAGGGTAATATCTGATCAAGAAGGTAATCTCGTGGGGAGGGGAATCTGATAGAAAGGGGGATCTCTGTTGAAAAGATCTGAATGTGATTGAAAAGGGATTCTAAAATAAAGACGATAAGAATATGATAGAAAAGAAGTTAAAGAATATTATATTACAACTTAGAATTTCTTTTTGTCTCCTTTTGGGTAATAAAGATAGTTCTTGGTTTAAAATATTTCATATATAGCAGTGCTTGTTGCCTACAACGGTACCGTTGCAGACGAAGACTTGCGCTTAATAAAGGAGTTCATTAGGCCAATTGGTTTACGAAATTAATTACTAGCATTCTTCCTGTGATGTATTACTACGCCAATTGCCCATAAAATGTTTAATAACAGCTACTGTCATGAGGATATACAAGGTGATCCAAAATTATCTTTCCTGTTTTAAAATTTAATAGTTAACTAACTAAGGAAATACAGCCATGTAGTATTCAACATGTTGTAGCCCAACTCAAACAGTTCTTATTGACAAGTCAGTATGATTCTACGTGTGCACCATTAGTGGCTTTCAGCACGCCTAATCGATGTTCGATTTCAGTCCGTGTTCGCTGTAAAATGTCCAGTTAAAATGCCTATGGCGTCCGTTATCTTGGTCATTATCTCCGTGATGTTTGCTATAGGTATGCGATACACGATATCTTTAACATACCCCCATACTTCTTTCCTGTACTGACGTCTGTAATTACACTACGCCACAGCCACTGACTCGGTCTCTACAAGCCAAACGACGCATTGAGCCAATTCTTGCACGGTTGCCATTTTACAGGGTAACATTATTCACTGCAGTGAAAAACAACAAAAAAAACATGACAATAAAACTGTTTGAGTTGGACAACAAGAAGTTAAACTGCGCGGTTATATTTCGTTAGTTATTTAATTATTAAATTTTAAATTTTTTTAATTTCGTGTAGTATTAGACGATATTTACGTTGTTAATTTTATTTATACGTATTTTTCAAAAAGAGAAAGAAGAACAAGTATGACTAATGTAGGAAATTATAACAACTACAAGAGCTATTGTTGTATTAGTACACAGTCATTAACATAATAATTAGTGTATTAAAATATTGGAATTGTGGGATCTATGTTGTTTGTTTGTTTGAAGTTAAACACAAAGCTACACAATGGGCTATCTGTGCTCTGCCCACCACGGGTATCGAAACCCGGTATCTAGCGTTGTAAGTCCGCAGACATAGTGATCTATATTACAAGAATATTTGTGATTTAAGTTTTATAATTACTTAAGTGGTAGAAAAAAAACTGTTGACTTCTGGTGAAAATATAAATTAATAAACAGAGTTATTTGATATGAAATAACTATATTCTTATTAACTTAAAAAGTCAGAGTTATTTGATATGAAATAATTATATTTGTATTAACTTAAAAAGTCAGAATGATTTGATATGAAATAATTATACGTCCGACTCCCACGTTTGACAATCAGTCACTCACAGAGGAAGGGACGGGGAAATGTTCTCATGGAAACGGTTGTCCGACTCCCACGTTTTACAATCAGTCACTCACAGAGGAAGGGACGGGGAAATGTTCTCATGGAAGAGTCTGTCCGACTCCCACGTTTTACAATCAGTCACTCACAGAGGAAGGGACGGGGAAATGTTCTCATGGAAGAGTCTGTCCGACTCCCACGTTTTA